CTTCCAGGCCTGAGGGACCCAATTCTAGCTAAAATTCTCCGTTTGTTCTTAGTCTCTTCATTTTTATTTTTTTAAGTTGATTAGAAAGGATGAAATCAAGTGGGTGTAATAGAAACTCAGGTTTTGTAGTCTATCTCAAGACGAGATCACCATGTCTTAACCTTAAAAATGACGATAAACATTAGAAAACCAATTTTTAGCATTTTAGCCTACCTTAATATTATTTATCCAACTAGGAGCCTTTTTGAGCCTTATTATTAGCCTTTTATTCGTTAGCCAATTATCATTACCCAACTCTAATTAGGAGTATAACCCCTATCATATTATTTTCCCTACCTATTTAGCCGAAAATATCAAGGATGAAAAGTTTGACGAAGAAATGAGAACAAAGTGTCTCCAAGCTAGGAAACAGATTTTATTTGATATATCAAAGTTTGAAGATAGTGATATTATACAATTCACTCCTCTTGAATACAAAAACAAAAACAAAAAAAAATAAGTGAAAAATCAAGAGAAAAAGAGAATAAGTAAGAAAATTCTCAAAGTTACAATTCAAAGAGATGAAATGAGTAAAGAAGAAATTTCCACAAAAGTTCTTAAGTGTCCAAGTATAGAAGACCCTTGATATTTTCGACAATTTTTTTTCTATCATTATATCCCTTCCATTTTAGCCAATACCTAAGCCATGTTACAACCCATACATGTTTGTTTGATTTAAGGTTAGATTTGGTGAAAAGTGGCGAGTAGGTGAGAAAATGCTGAGGTGAAATACCCGACATCCTTGTATGTAATCAACATTTCCATTAATAAGAAACTAATTCATAAAATGTCTGTTCTTTCATGATGTATTATGCAATATGTGGGACATTTGTTTTTCTTTCCATTCCTCACATATGTGGTGCATGTACATTTACACATATTTCAGAGTGATTATTTATTTTGAGTGTATGCCCAGTGAGGATTGAATTGAAGCACTATTTCCAAAGGTAACTTAGAAGTGATGTCATTTGGATATGAGAATCATGTTATTAGGCATTATTTGCATTTAGTGGATATGAGAAGTGATTAGTGAATGATTTCTATCTTAGGAAATAACCTTTAGTCTTATGCATTGATATTGATTATTTGGATGAATAATGGAAGCATGAACTTTTTATTTTAGAAAACCTATATTTTTCTAAGAATATATATCACCATTTTTATTTTTGAATTTTGTAGGTAGATTCACTGCAAACCCTCACGAGTTAACACTTGTCCATTAGAGGTAATTTAATGGTTTAACGGCTTATTACATATGTTAAATGTAATCGTGATACCTACGAAAGTGAGTTAGGATTTAATTTTTGTTTTTTTTTTTAGTTTTGCTCGAGGACTAGCAAAATGTAGGTTTGGGGGTATTTGATATACGTAAAAATATTACATTTGCCACGCATTAATGCATATCACTGACAACTATATAATAGCAAATATCACTTTGTTAGTGTATTTTACTGTTTTATAGGAATCGAAGACCAATCTTCAAAAAGTATTAAAATCTTGCGAGAAAATGGAATAATATACACAGGTCATGCCACGCGACCAGGCTGAGCAGAATAGCTCGCACCACGCGACCAAGTCAGTAGTAGCAATTATGTTTTATTGGTTTGAGGCTGGACCAAATGGACGCAATATGTGGAGCATGCTATCATAACTTATGTTAGAGGATGAATTACCTAAGCTATTGTACACCTGGACCACCTGATCATATCCAATGTTACCTCTTCACTCAAGTCAGACACGAACAGAAGAGTTCTTTCACATAAGAAACTTGTTTGAATGTGACACGATGGGTTCCCACCGACTCAATTTTTCTCTCTTTCGATCCATCTTTCTGCCGACTCTCTCAATCTCTCTCTCCTATATATACATAACTTTTAAACCAAATTGGGGAGCCACACAAAAACCGAAATAGGGGATATTGTATTAGTAAAGGTGGCGGCCATTGTTGAAGAGAATAAGAAGAAGGAACAGTAGCAGCAACGATTTGAAGATGAAGGAGTTGTCGGCATTGAATTCCCATTATAATGAGCATTTCTTTCTCTTTATTTGTTGTTATTTTTGTTTTTATGAGTAGCTAAATATTTATCTAGGGCTTAGATGAAACCCTAGATCAAAGTAGATGATTTCGAATTCAATTTGTAATGTTCTCTGAATATTTTAATTGTCAAATTCTTCTTATTACTCGGATTATAAATGAATTATATCTTTCACATCTTATGTCATGCATATTAGGTAGTTACAATTATTTATTGTTAATCAAGCATGTTTTTATCGTTTGCGTTAATTCTTTTGATTATTTATGCTTTAATAAGATAAGTAACACTTTAGAATTATCTGTTTGGCTGAGTTAAGAAGATACCTTTGATGTTTAATTAAGATTTATCATGCTCATATCATCGGGAAAGCAATGAATTATCATTCATCGTGCTACTCGTAAAAATTACAAGAACATTGTATTTTGGATTTAAATTATTCTATTAAGATTTAGGGTGGATTGAAAGTCCTAGGTTTTTCTTCCCTCGAATTAAACCAATTTAATTTGCTTGCTTTCATTTAGCTTTAGCTTTAGTATTAATATTAATTTAAATTAATTTAGAATAGCTAAAAAACCATTTTCTCCGAATTAGTTAAATCAGATTCTGGAATTTATTTGTGTTAAACATCAATCCTCGTGGGATCGACTCCTATTTGCAAATCTATATTATTGTAGACTCGTGCATTTGCGATTATAATTAGGGTTTGAATTTATCTATTAGTTTAGGTAGTTTTAAAATCCACATCAAGTTTTTGGCGCCGTTGCCGGGGATCGAACTCGGGTCACCCGCGTGACAGGCGGGAATACTCACCACTATTCCCGCATGAAAGGCGGGAATACTCAATAATTATCAAAATGGGATCCTTGTAGAAGAGGGGGATATGGCTTGTACACCGACATTTGAATTTCATGAGAAGGTTGAAGTAAACCATGGAATGTTTATTGCAAGCCGTCAGGCAGCAGAAACCTTCTTCTACCAAACTAAGCCTTCAAAGATTGTAAAGGTCAAGTTGAATGAAGTTCTCTCCCACAACTTTTTGATATCAAAACTGAAGTCAAGAGAGAGAAAGAGTGAGATTTCGTACCTGAAGATGCTTTGCTTTGCTTCGCTTGGTTGTAGACAAAATCTAAAATATTTGGGAGAGAAAATGATGAAGAAGAAGATTAAACCTAACCTATTACAAAAATAATGACGAAAAAGTTTAAAAGGAAAGATGATATAATCGAGGATAATCAAGGGACTTGATACGATCTGGTGTGCAACTCTTACTATCAACCATCAGATCTAAAACTTGTTTATACAACTTATGGTATAAAAAAGGGTAAACTCATGTCCAACAAAAATTTCGCACATCTCGAGAAAATACAACACTCCAGATTAGAAATCAAATCCCAACTTCTTATTAGATCCGCCAGATCAAAACAGTAAAAAAATTTAACGGTGAGATTTATGTATGCCTTGAGTCATAAAATATAGATAATTAAAAAATGGCATCTGTAAGTAAGAGGAATGAAACTTGAGTATAGGTACTAGGTAGATTCATAACACATTCATAATACATCTGTACTTGTTTCCTCACTAATTCCTTCTAGATTGTTCTCATCAATATCAATACTGATACTATTATTTTCAAAGCACCTCATGCTAGAACTTTGAAAAGAGAGGCTATCCATTTCAACATGGAACCTCTGCAGTCCAATACCATCAACACTAACAAAGCTTTGATCACTTGTTGATCGCCGGGAACTCCCCCATGATGGTCGGGAGCTTTTTGATGGTTGTTTATTGATAAAACCATCGGTCAAATAGAAACTTTCTTCTAGTTCTTGCAATACTTGAGTCATTGTTGGTCGGTTTTTGGGAACCTTTACGGCACATCGCAGAGCCAATTGTCCCATTTTAAGCATCAATTCCAAATTGCATGGTTCACTTAGTAGATTCACATCTATAATATCTGCGACTTTACCAAGTTCCAAACTGGGCCTTGCCTGCAGTTTACGGAAAAAAAAATATTGTTAAGTTAATATTCCCAAGCCTGCAATATTAGTTGAAACTTGAAAGCTCAATGTGAATTGGGCTTTAGATTGAAGTCCAATATGCAAAATGGGCTTGAATGCATTTATAAGCCCAATTCAGATGCAAGAATTTGAACTCAATCTAAGCTCTAAATTTGATGTGAATCAATGAACCAAGTTACAATTCAACTTACCCATTCAATTATATGGTATCTGGAATTGGTGCGACTAGTATCTACTGCAGGTCTGGCAGCAATGAGTTGCAACAAAATGACTCCAAAGCTATACACATCACTAAATGGTGTTAAGTGAAAGCTTGAACAATAAGCTGGATCAAGGTACCCTGGTGTCCCTTTAATTTGACTGCTAACATGAGACTGATCTCCAATGGGACCTGACTTTACTAGCCCAAAATCCGAAACTTTCGCTTCAAAGCCATCTCCGATTAATATGTTACTTGGTTTGATGTCCCTGTGAATAATGCTCGGTTTTAGGCCATAATGAAGATAAGCTATGCCTGAAAATGCCATGCATAAATAGGATCATAATCTCAGTAGAAAATAACATTGTAACTTGTAATACACTCGCATGATCAAAACTTACCCTTTGCAGCTCCAACGGCAATATTTACTCTTTGCCTCCAAGTCAAGGTCTTCCCTTTCCTTCCTATAACATTATAGAATGTAAATGTTCAATGAACCATTAGGATTTTAGGATAAGAGGATATGTGATGAGCGCCAACAGCTAGGACAAGTCTTACCTACTATGTACTCGAGCAGAGAACCATTCGGTACATATTCATATACGAGTATTTTTGCTCCTTTTGGACCTGTTTCGGACACATA